TTTTTTTTTTTTTTTTTTTTTTTTTTTTTGGCCCTTTAAAAATTGTGCATTTATCTATAAATGCATATATAAAAGACATAAAATATTTCATTTAAAATCAAAATAATAATGCATATATGATATATATAAAAATTTATTTAAAATATGTTAAATGTATATAAACATTACATATATATGAAAAAAAAAAAAAAAAAAAGTTTTTGTTAAGCATTTTTACACAATACAGAAACCACGTATTAGCACTCACAATTTAATACATTAATAAAAAAAAAAAAAATACTAATAGTGCAAAATAAAGAATAGTATAAATGTGCTGTAAACATATTTGCAATTATAGATTATATACTTTTAAGAAAACAGTATGTTTATATTTACATTTATTTTGATTTTTAATAAATTTTAATGAAATATAGTCTAATTCACAAAAAGAACTTATTTAATACATAATAATTAATTTTAATTTTTTTTTTTAAATAGAACGTTTTTTTTTTTCAGCTTTTGAAAAAAAAAATAAAAACATTAATCTTTATTTTTCCATTAAATGGTTAAAAACAATTGGAGAAATTTAAAATTCTTTTTTTTTTTTTTTTTATGACATATACCTTTCTTTAATTTTTGCTTTTTGTTATTTGTTTTTTACGTATTTTAATCTTTAAGAAAATTTGAAAAATATAATAATTATTATTTATATATATATATTAAATACTATTCAATAATTTTTTTAAAAGTGAATATTTTTCTCTACTTTTCTTTTAATTATCTAAAAATATTAGAATGTATAACCAAAATAGACGGGTATAAAGACATAATTAACTGTTTATATTCATTTCATAATTTTTCATTACTTTATAAAAAAAATATTTCAAAATATTTTATTCTTTAAATATATATTTTATATTTAAAGAAAAATCTATTAATATTTCTTAAAAAAAAAAATATATTACAATAACCTAAATTTTTATTTTGTGCAGATTAATGCAACTTTAAAAAAATGTATTGAAATGGACAATTTGTGTCATCTCTATAATATTGAATTAATGCAACAAAGAGAAAGGATCGAAAATTTAAAGAAAAAATTACATTCTTATAACAAAAATATAGAAGCACAAGAGAGTATTTTTAATAATTTTATAAAGTATACCGATAGTTTTGTAAATAACATAATGTAATTTTTTTTATTTTTTTTTAATTCTAAACAAGTATATTTGTACTTTATTTTTCATTTATTATTATTTTTTTTTTTTTTTTCTTAGAAACTTTTTAGAAAATTTTAATTATTCAAAAAATTTTAATTTATTTTCTCAATGTGCAAGATATTGTCTTATTGATGATGTGGTTATATCATTTTTTCAATAATTATTATATTGATTACATGACAAATAAAATGTTTTATTTTATTAATTTTATTTCCTTCAATACATATTATATTAATTCATTTTATTAAATCTTTTCAATTCTTTTTTTTTTTTTTTTTTTTTCTAAATATAGGATGAAATAAAGTTAATAAACCATTATAACAAAATTAATAAAATAAATTCTTGTAAAAATAAAAAAAAAAAACTTACAAAATTAGTTAATAAATGTAAAAATAGCAATTTAAATAAAAATTATTTTTGTGTTGAAGAGGGTAAAAATATAAAAAAAAATAAAAAAAAGAAGATTAAAAGTAAAGATGAAACAAAAAAGAAGACTCTACAACAAAATGAAAATATTTATAATCTTCACCAACCATATGACACTATAGAAGTGAAAGATTTATATAATATTTATAAAAAGCAACGTATGAGTTCTGGTTATTATTAATTAAATAAAATATTTTAAAATAAATAAAAAGAAGGAAATATATAAAATATTAGCTAAATTTTATTTTCTTAATTAAGCGTTTTAATTATTCAAAACTTTAATATGAGAATTACAGAGTTTGTTTATTTAAAATAAAATACAAGTAAAAAAAGTAATTTACAGCTAATATTTTTTTCTTCGTAATTTTCAAACGTCAAGTATGAATTATTTTTAATTTTCTTATTTTTTACTAACATATTTTATGCCTTCATATTTATTTGTTTTTTTACTAATATAGATAAGCCATATATATATTTTTATTTTTCATTGTATTTTATATTTTCATATTTTTTGTTTTTCATTAGTAAATTTTATGTTTTTATGTTTTTATGTTTTTCTTTTTTTTTTTTTTTTTTTCTTTAAATTAATTCCTATACATTGGGGTAACAATATGTTAGGTTTTTGATACTCAATTTTAATTCTATTTTTTGATAAATATATATTTTATATTAATATATATATTATAAAAATAGCATACTATTTTAATTTTAACCATTTATTTTATTATCATTTTTTTTTTTTTTTTTGCATGAATACTTTTTTTTTTTTTGAAATACTTTAATGAATATGTTTAAATTACTCATTTGAAGCTATTTTTTTTTTTCTTTTTTTTTTTTTTTTTTTGCATGAATATTTGTTTTTTAAAATATATAAATTCTTTAAAATAACTCTTTAACATTATTATTCTATTTTTATGAGGATTTAATCTTTTTAGTATTAAATATTTCTACTTTGAAATATTTATCAAATTTCTTTCTCTTTTTTTTCTATTTTTATAATAAAATATATATAATATATATATGTTTTTAAAGGCTTATATTCATGTTTTTTATTTTAAATAAACACTACTTTTTTTACACACTTAAAACTATGGTGTTTTCTGGTTTTATCTCCCCTATGAGGGCCCAAAAGAATCTTTTTAAAGTACATTTAAAATAAATAAGTTTTTTAAAAAAATTCTAAAATTTTTAGTATTTTTAAATAATATTCATATAATTATATATTGTTTAAAATTTTATGTATTCATATATTTATCATATTTCAATTTGATCAGTTTTCAAAATTGTTCTTTGATCATACGTATTTCTTCATGCAAATATTCTTAATTTTTTTTTTTTTTTTATAAAATATGTAATACTAAAAAATACACACGAAAAAATATAGAGCGCATATTTAACATAAATTCTTACATGTTTGATTTTTTTTTTTTTTTTTTTTTGTCGATTATAAAAATTATGACTTGTCCAAAATAAACTTTAAAAAAAATAAATAAAAAATAAAAAATTAAACATATTCTGAATATATTTAATAATTTCCTTATGCAAAAATTTATATATGCATAATAGCAAAATAATTATTGAAAACTTATTAACATATTAAAATAATATTATCCTATGGCTTTACATATTTCGATTTAATTCAAAAAACTTCAATTCTAGTAACGTTCATTACGTATCTTTTATTTTAAAAAAAAAAAAGAAAAATTATTCATATTATTTTATATGTTATATTTTGTATTCAACACATTACATATTTTTTAATAGTGATAAGAAATCTATTTTTTTTTTTTTTTTTTTTTTTTTTTTTTATATCACGTTAATTTGTCCCTATATATGTACATTCATTTTTTATAAATTTTCTTTTTAATAATTTATTTTTTTGTTTTTAATTTTTATAATTTTAGATTTACTTGAATATTTATACATTGATCACTTTATGTTATTTGTTTAAATGATGGCAAATTCTTATATATAATTTTATATTTTAAATTAAGCATACATAAATCTATTAAATAATTTATCAAATAAATTTTTGTAAATTCAAAAAATATATTTTTGCATTCTTCATTTTATGATCAAAATAAAAAAGAATTAAAAAAAAAATAAAACAGTAAAATGTATCAAAAGATAATGTTTTTTTTTTTTTTTTTTTTTTTTGTATACATTAAAATTGAACTGTATACATTAATGCATACATATATTTAACAATATATGTTACAATTTTCACAATTATATTTTTGTTTATATTTTACTTAATCTGTCTTTTCTTTTTAATTACTTCTTTGTATCTTATTTTTTTCTTTTTTTTTTTAGAATTGTTAAGTTATCAATTTAATGTCTCTCAATAAAATAAATATTAAAAAAGTGTACATTGTAAACTTTAAATCGTTTTTTACATAACATACATATATATATGCATATATAATTTATTTTTTTTTTTCATTTCTTTTAAAGAACATTTTTATCTTTTATTAAAAACATTATAATAAATGATTAAGAAACAAAGAATTAATGTATATACATATACATATATATATGTAATATACTTATGAATGTTTTCATGTTAGTTAAAATATGCTAATATTTTTAAAAAAAAATTTTTTTTTTTTAAAAAAGTTGTCACATAATAATAGTTTTTTAATTGTAATAATATTTTGAAAAACATATTTTTTTATGTAATATATAGTTTTATAAAATTAAAAAAAAAAAAAAAGAAAATTAGCCAAAATTTCAAGAATACTTATTCAATCAGGTAAGATATTTAAAATTTAAAAAGCAAAAGTTTAATTAGAATATATATACATTAAATTATACTGATAAAAAAACTAATGAAATTTTCTTAACGTTTATTCTTTTAATTATTATGTTTTTCATTTAATATGAATTTTTTTTTTTATACCTTTAAAGTAGCTAGATGTTATGTAAATAGCAAATAAGAAAAAAAAAAATAAATAAAAGAGAAAAAAAAAAAGAAAAGAAAGGAAAAAGGGAACAAAGGGAAGAAAGGAAAGAAAGAAAGAAGAAAGTGAAGAAAAAAAATAAGACAAAACTGTTATTTCTCTTTTTTCCCTTTTTTTTTTTATTAGTGCAATTTACATATAGCTGATTTATAAAATCTGATTTTGTCTAATTTTTATAAGATAGAATATTAGAAAAAAATTAAAGATTTCAATATACATAATAGTAATTTATTGTCCATGTTTTAATTATTAACATTTGTCTATAAGTCACAAATAAGAAATAGTTTTTATAAAGTTTTATTAAAAGGAAATTATTTCATGATTTTTAAAAAGACATATAAGAAAGACTAATTTATACATGTTAATTAACAAAATATCTCTTTTGAATATCTCCATACATTTAAAATACAATTTAGAGGTTGGATAAATAAATATAAAATATATTTGTATTACAGAACTATCGTTGAAGAAAAGAAATAAGATTAATATTTTGATAAAACAGGAATAAATTATTAATAAAAATAATATATGTCTATCAAAATAAAATATATTAGACATACATATACATAGTGTTTCTAGTTATATAAATGTTAAATGTTTGCACATACTCCTAAACATATATATAATTAAAAATACTTTACGCTTAATGAATCTTATCCTTTTTTATTAGAAAACTACGTAAGTATACATGCCTTAATAGATAAAAAAAAAAAAAAAAAAAAAATTATATATATTAATATATTTACATAATAAAACTAATTATAAAATTATAATAAAATTAAAAAAAAAAAAAAAAAAAAAAAAAAAAAGGCTTTTCTTTTTATAGAGTGATTATTTTATATATATCTATATTTTTTAAAAGAAAAAAAATGAGTGATAATATAAAAAGATTGCCATTACAGTCCGAAAATATGGAAGTAAAAAAAACATTATCAGGAAGAGTAGCTGATGATGGTATAAAAAGAACCCCATCTGGAAAGCCAATACAAACAATGTATGTATTAAATAGAAAAGGAGAAGAAGAAGATATTTCTTTTGATCAGATTTTGAAAAGAATACAAAGATTATCTTATGGTCTTCATGAATTGGTTGATCCAGCTAGAGTAACCCAAGGAGTGATTAATGGAATGTATAGTGGAATAAAAACATGTGAACTAGATGAATTAGCTGCTCAAACATGTGCTTATATGGCTACAACTCATCCTGATTTTTCTATATTAGCTGCCCGTATAACTACAGATAATTTACATAAAAATACCAGTGATGATATTGCAGAAGTGGCAGAGGCATTGTATTCTTATAAGGATATTAGAGGAAGGCCAGCTAGTCTTATTAGTAAAGAAGTTTATGATTTTATTATGTTGCATAAAGATCGTTTAAATAAAGAAATTGATTATACAAGGGACTTTAATTATGATTATTTTGGATTTAAAACATTAGAAAGATCTTATTTATTACGTATTAATAAAAAAATTATTGAAAGGCCACAACATTTATTAATGAGAGTATCTATTGGTATACATATCGATGATATAGAAAAAGCATTAGAAACTTATCATTTAATGTCACAAAAATATTTTACTCACGCAACTCCAACATTATTTAACTCTGGAACACCAAGACCACAAATGTCTTCTTGTTTTTTGTTGTCAATTAAAGCAGATTCTATTGAAGGAATTTTTGAAACTTTAAAACAGTGTGCTTTAATTAGTAAAACTGCAGGAGGTATTGGTGTAGCAGTTCAAGATGTAAGAGGGCAAAATTCTTATATTAGAGGTACAAATGGTATATCCAATGGTCTCGTTCCTATGTTGAGAGTTTTTAATGATACTGCAAGATATGTAGACCAAGGTGGAGGAAAAAGAAAAGGATCTTTTGCTGTTTATATTGAGCCATGGCATTCTGATATTTTCGAATTTTTAGATTTAAGAAAAAATCATGGAAAAGAAGAATTAAGAGCAAGGGATTTATTTTATGCTATATGGGTACCTGATTTATTTATGAGGAGAGTAAAAGAAAATAAAAATTGGACTTTGATGTGCCCCAATGAATGTCCTGGATTAAGTGATACTTGGGGAGAAGAATTTGAAAAATTATATACTAAATATGAAGAACAGAATTTAGGAAAAAAAACTGTATTGGCTCAAGATTTATGGTTTGCCATATTACAAAGTCAAATAGAAACAGGGGTTCCATATATGTTGTACAAAGATTCTTGTAATGCTAAATCAAATCAAAAAAATTTAGGTACTATAAAATGTAGTAATTTATGTTGTGAAATTATAGAATATACGTCCCCTGATGAAGTTGCTGTGTGTAATTTAGCTTCAATTGCATTATGCAAATTTGTAGATGTTGAAAAAAAACAATTTGATTTCAAAAAGTTATATGAAATTACAAAAATTATTACAAGAAATTTAGATAAAATTATTGAAAGAAATTATTATCCAGTCAAAGAAGCAAGAACTTCAAATATTAGACATAGACCTATTGGTATTGGGGTTCAAGGATTAGCAGACACCTTTATGTTATTAAGATATCCTTATGAATCTGAGCCTGCTAAAGAATTAAATAAAAGGATCTTTGAAACTATGTATTATGCTGCTTTAGAAATGTCTGTAGAACTAGCACAAATTTATGGACCTTATGAATCATTTCAAGGAAGTCCAGCAAGTCAAGGAATTTTACAATTTGATATGTGGAATGCAAAAGTAGATAATAAATATTGGAATTGGGATGAATTAAAAGCTAAGATACGTAAACATGGTTTAAGAAATTCTTTATTACTAGCACCTATGCCAACTGCGTCAACATCTCAAATTCTCGGAAATAACGAATCGTTTGAACCTTATACTAGTAATATTTATTATAGAAGAGTTTTGAGTGGAGAATTTTTTGTTGTTAACCCTCATTTGTTAAAAGATTTATTTGATAGAGGATTGTGGGATGAAGATATGAAGCAACAATTGATTGCACACAATGGAAGTGTTCAATATATAAGTGAAATACCTGATGATTTAAAAGAATTGTATAAAACTGTTTGGGAAATTAAGCAAAAAAATATTATAGATATGGCTGCTGATAGAGGAATTTTTATTGATCAAGTAAAATGAAATAAATTAATTCTAATATATATATATATATATATAAATATATATATATATATTTATTCATTTATATATTTAAATATAAATAATACATGTATAATAATAAAATAAAAATAATTATACAAATTAAATTTGTAATTAGCATAACAAAAATGTATTAGATAATACAAAATATTATTTGAGGTATACTAATAATTATATATATATATTATTTTTTATAGTCTCAATCATTAAACATTTATATTCAAAAGCCAACATTTGCAAAATTGTCGAGTATGCATTTTTATGGATGGGAAAAGGGATTAAAAACAGGAGCTTATTATTTAAGAACTCAAGCTGCAACTGATGCAATTAAGTTTACAGTTGATACACATGTAGCTAAAAATGCAGCAAAACTAAAAAATGCAGATGGAATAGCTATTACAAGAGAAATTTCAAGGGAGACCATTTCAACAGAGTCAACTGTTACGCAAAATGTATGTCCATTACGTCGTAATAATGATGATCAATGTCTAATGTGTTCAGGATAAGTTTTCAATATACATATATTATACATTTACAAAAAAATATATATATATATATATATATAAACATATATAAATATTTTATACAAATAAAAAAAAAAAAAAAATAAAAAAATAAAAAAATAAAAAAAAATATTGAAAAAATTTTAAATAATAAAAATATACAAAATAAATAGAAATAAAGTAATATAAAACAATATATATATTGAAATAAAGACAAATATATTGGCTTTTACTTTTTTTAAAATAATTTTTTTTTTTTATCCTTATCATATATATATTTTTTTTAATTCCTACGTAATTTGGCATATTTTTAAACTTTTTAAATCATATTATAATGACATCAAAAATAGACTTTTTTTAGCATTTCAATAATTCCTGTATAGATAATTTATTAAAAACATAAAAATTTATGGAATAAAATTTTTTATCGAACAAAATAATATAAAAAAGAAAAAAGGAAATTATTTTTTAGTAAGATATTTGTCCATATTTGACTCTCCACAATTAGGGCATATAAAATTCTATAAATGTATAAATATTAAAAAAAAAAAGATAAAAATACATATATGAAGACATTAACATAATTACTTTTTATTAAAATAATTTTTTTTTTTCTTTTTTTTTTAATATTCTTACATCTTTTAAAAATTTTTTTTCTCTTCCTTTAGCTGGAAATATTACCAAATTACATTTTACACATTTATATTTGAAAAATTCCTTTTCGCAATTTTTTGAATTATCCACATTTTCATTTTTTTCTTTTTCTCGCTTTTTATAAAATAATCCTGCTAAAAATTAATATTTCTTATGTAGAATATATTGTTAAAAAAAAAAAAAAAAAAAAAAAAAATCCCATTTAACACATAAATATTTTCATAAAAATAACTTCATAAGTATAATGGGATAAAATTAAGTAACAATTATGTTTTCACTAACATTTATTGATATTATATACTAATATATTAAAATGTGTTTATATGAAATTAAATACTTACCTATTAATGAACTAAAAGTAAATATGATTACAGATATCTTAAAAAAGTTAATTCTTTTACTAAAATTTTTACCCACATTTGTTATATTTGATTGAATTTTATGTAAATACGTTTGATCATTATGGCTATTTAAATTAAAATGTTTCTTTAACGTTTTATTTTTTTTTTGTATATTGTTTAAAATTTTATTATTGATATAATGAATATTTCTTTGAATTTTAATTGAAAACACAGTTACACATGTCACAATATAAATAAAAATTAATAAATATAACCTCATTTTTTTTTTTTTTTTTTTTTATCTTTTTTTATGGATATATATTAATTAGTCATTATTTTTATTAAAAGTTAAATAAAGGAGAATGTAAAGCTTTTAATGTAAGTAGCATATTGTTTTATTAATGTTAAACACATCTCATAATATATCTTAATGGAGATTTGTTACAAAAAAAAGAAAAATAATGTTAAAATAAAAATTATATTTTTTAAAAATAATATATTAATAAAAATTCATGAAATAGAAAAAATAAAATAAAAATAATATAGTAATAGATATAATAGTTTTATGATCCTACTGCCTTTCTCTTTATTTTTATAAAAAAAGATATACAAGTATATATATATTAATTCCGAAATAAAAAGTATAACTAGAATAATAAATGAAGATATATTTTCTCTAATTATAATAATAATAATAATAATTTATTTTTAATTTTTCTTCAGAATACCTAAGGAATATATAAAAAAAAAATTAAAAATATAATTTTTGATAACTATAAAATAAAATAGTTTATTTTATGGTTTATATACTTTTTTTTTTTTTTTTTTTTTTTTTTTTTTTTTTTTNAATAATAATAATTTATTTTTAATTTTTCTTCAGAATACCTAAGGAATATATAAAAAAAAAATTAAAAATATAATTTTTGATAACTATAAAATAAAATAGTTTATTTTATGGTTTATATACTTTTTTTTTTTTTTTTTTTTTTTTTTTTTTTTCATTTATATATGTGTAGAGAAGATGATAATTCATTTAATATAAATGTATAATTTACATTAGAAACAAAAAGTGCCTTTGGAAGAAAATATAATATTATGTTCTTTTATATTTTTGTTAAAAATTTTTTTATGATTTCTAATAATTTATTGAGTGGAATAATTTTAATAATAGAAAAATTCTTATTTTGAAATTTATATATATTTTATTATGAAAACAGATAATTCATATTATATCTAATTGATGTTTAATTTAATTCACATTTCATTTATATATTACTATTTTTTTATATCTAATTTACATAATTTATATATGTAAATGTAATTATTACATCCTAATCATTGTGAGAAATAATTTCAATCATAGTTATTAAAATGTAGAGAAAATAATAAAAAAAATAGTAGGTTATCATTACATTTAAAGAAGTTTATCACAATATATATATCTTAGAATTGGAAATTATTTTAAAAAAAAATATATAGAGAGCATTCATCTTTTTTTTTTTATTTTTTAATAATTATTCTAATTTCTAATATCATAAGAAGACAGCATGAAATGGAGAAAAGATATTAATATATATATGTAATATATATTTCTACAAAAAATTTTAATTTTATTTTATAAAAATCTCAAAATTTTTTTCGAAGAGATGAAAAAAATCTTTTAATATATAATTATAAAATTTTATTTTTCTTTTATAGTGCAATTATATTATCTATTCTAAAGGTTTTGCTAATTTTTTTAAAATGACAATTTTATTTTTACCTTTTTTAATTAAAGCGATTAAAAATAGTTTTAGTGAAAAAACTTAAATTATAAATTTTTCATTTTTTTATTTAATTTAACGATTTTCATGTAATTTCTCAGTTTTTATAAATTAGTACTTTTAAAAAATATTTTTCATAAAATAAAAAAAAAATACTTTTACGTTTTATTGTATAATTCATGTAGACAATTTTAATTTAGTAAAAATCTTTCAAAAAGTTACTTCCTAAATATACAAGTATAATTTCAATTTAAGCTTATATTTTTTTGTGTTTTTTATAAGAATTTCCACAGGTAAAAAAAAATAAGAAATAGACCAATTATAGTTAAGATGTATTTATTTGCAGATATGCAAATGTATTGTTTTTAGGTAAAGATATAAATTAAAAAAATTTTTATATAAAAATAAAAATAATTCAAAAAATTTTTACATAAATATATATTTATAATCATGAATATAAAAAAATATTACAATATTACATATATATTTAAAAGAATAAAAGTTCATTTAAATTTTATACTAAGATGATACTAATAAAATAAAGTTGTAAATATATAATTATGGTTGTAAAATTAATAATCCCCTCTTTCATAAAAAAAAAGAAAAGAAAGAGTTACAGTAAACGTAATTAGTAATAGGAAAAAAATAAATTAACTTACAATATTTTTATTAATTTTTATTTTTAATTAATGAATATAAAATATAATAAATTAAAATTAATATCTATTTTTAATTTAAAATAATAAATTACAATATTTCCACTAAATATGTAAGTGTCTATTATAAATTTTAAAAATTATATAACACTTGCATTTTAATATATCCAAAATTTTCTTTCAATGGGTCTTGTTAAAATAAAAGTAAAAATTTAAAGAATTTATTATACAAATGACTACAATTATAAGACTAAAAAATATGTAAATCATCTCTTACGAGCTGACTTAAATGATATATATCTTATCTTAAAAGAATAAATACATTAATATAAAATCTAAAATACTAATATTTGAATAAAATAATAAAATATTTCTGTTTTCGTCTTTTCACAGATTATTTCTTACAGCATGAATCATATCCATGTTTAAAAATAAATTTAAATTGTACCTATTTTAATTTTTTTTTTTTTTTTTTTTTTTTTTTTTTACAGTTACAAAAAAATATTAAAACAAATATTGATAATATCATTCATAAATATTCTTTATGATATTATATTATAATCTATTTATAAATATATTGACTTCATATATGTTTCGCTTGATATTTGATAAATGGTTATTAAATTATTAACCTTCTAATAGTTCTTAACAATCTTCATTTTTTTTTTTTTTAAACAATTTAATTAAGGAAAAAATATCTAAATTTTACAAGTATATATATAATTATCAAACGAAAATTAAATTTATGTTAAAAAATAAATTATCAATCTAATATGTTGTTAGTATAACTCTGTATATCTGTAAGAAGAAAAAAGAAAAAAATATATATATATTCAACAATTTACAACAATAAAAGTATCTTCAATGTATAACTTTTAATTTTAAAATTACTATTTATATATAAAAATAAATATGAAATATATAGTAATTACAATAAATAGAACGAATTATAATAAAATAAACAATAATTACATACAAGAATCAATAAAAAATGGAAAAAATAAATATAATTATGATTTTATGCAAATAATTACATTTTAAAATAATTCGTACATATGTATTTTTTTTTTTTCATTAAATTATTTAGGTAAATTTTCAAATAATACACAATCTATTAATCTATGGTTTTTATTATTTTTGGATTAATAAAATATAATAAATATTATTTACATGTAGTGCTTTATTAAAAATAAATATCATTGCAAATATTATAAAAATATTGAAATTTAATTTTTTTTTAATAATTATCCAATTTTCTTGCATTATATTTTTTATTTTTTGATACTTTTCTTAATATTAAAATAAATATATGAATTATAGAATATTAAATGTATCTATATTTTTAGATATAAACAATGTATAATGTAGAACTATATATATATATATATGTAATGCGTACATTTATATAAATATAGAAATATTATTAAATATATTAAAATTATAAATATAATTTTTATAACAAAAAAAAAAAAAAAAATAAAATAAAATAAAATAAAATAAAATAAATAAATATATCAAATAAAAATATAAAAGACAGAAAAATAAAAAATCAAATTTTTATAAAATTGATAAGAATATATATAACATGGATACAAAAAAAAAAAAAAAAAAAAAAAAGAAAAATTACAAAAATTGAAACTTAAAAATATAATGATAAAATAAAAAAAAAAACAATTATATCCTTTTCGCTATTTAAATACAAATATAATGACAAAGATAAATTAATATTCTCCTAAATCAGTTAATCCTTTATATCTATTACCTGGTGAATTAAATTTATAAAAATCATCTTTATTAAGAATTTTTGACCATATTAATAAATCCCCTCTCATTAATCCTCTTCTAACAATTTGTGACAAATTAAAGCCATTTTGCTTAACAAAATATAAACTATCAGTATTTAAATTATTTGTGAACACTTTTAGTTCTTGATAATTTTGTTCATGGGCGAAATTCTCTAATTGTGTTAATAGTCTACTTCCTATTCTCATTCTTCTATTATCTTTTTTTACGACCATGCGAACTAATTGAGCAATAGAATTATCTCCTTTAAAAGGAACAATTCCAACACATCCAACTATTTTTTTATTTAAAAATCGAAGATTAAAATCTTCATCTTCATTTATTTTATTATTTAAAATTTTTTTTTTAATTTCATTTAATCCAGATTGTACATTTCTTTTATTTACGATTAACTGTTTTTTGCTAAAATCACGTATATCACATAGCATTTTACTTTTTCCATTATTTAAATTATCATTTTTCAAAAATGTTACATCACTTTTTTCATTATTATCTTTTAACTCAATTTTATTTTTAAGATTATTTACCTCATTTAAATTGCGTTCATTATTATTGTTATTTTTATTTTCATCATTAATATGAAAAGTTTTTGTATTATTATTATTACAACCATTATTATCATTAGTTTCATTATTATTTTTTTCTTCTTTATCATTAGAATTAATTATATAATTTTCTTTTATATTTTCTTTCAATTCATATTTATTATTATTTGCATTTTCAAAATTACCATGAATATTCCGATTTACATCTTCATCATTTTTATAAATTGAATTTTTTGAGTGTAGCATGTTATTTAAATTATCATACTTATTTAATACATTATCATTATTTTCTTTTATATTCGATTTATCATAATTATTAGAATTATTATTACACTTAGATTGATTATTAACCTCAGCCCCTATATTATTGTATATATCTTTAACTAAATCATTGTTTATATGATCTTTTATATTGTCATTTTTGCAAATATTTATGTTATTTTTTTTATCATAATCTAATACATAATTTTCAGAATGTGACTTATTATTTATTTCAAAATTTGTATTTTTATTATTATTAACGTTTTCTCCTTTATTTAAAAAATTATTTATATTATTTTCTATATTATTCATATTATTAACTGTATCATTTTTATTATCACTTATATTTTCTTCTGTATTATTCTTTTTAGAATTATTTACATTTTTATGTTGTTCTTCTATTTCATTATTATTAATGTTAGACTTATTTTTAAAATCTTTATTTAAATTATTATTAACTAATTCATTGAAATCTTTAGATGCTTCAATATTTTCACAAGCATCATTTTTTTCATTTAAATTACCACCTTTTTCATTATTTAACAATTTTCCTTGTTCATCTTCTTGCTCAAACATAACTTTTTCTCTCTCATGAATATCGCTACATGTAGTTCTACTACCTGAACCATAATTACTATCATAAACTTCTGCTACCCAAAAATTACATCCTTCTACGTTAATATAACTTTTATATAAATTTTCTAAATCTGGGCAATCTTTTCTTATATGATTTAAAAACTCTAACTTAGCCCTTATATATAAATATATTAAGAATATAATAAGAAAATAAAAAATTTTTTTTAAATCTAGAAAAAAGATATAATTTATAACAATTATTACCAACAAATCATAAATATGTTGTATTGACCAATATATAACTGCTGGTAATGTTAAAGAGTTAAAATGATCATATAATAACTGCCTTACTTCATTTATATCTTTCTCTTCTAGCTGTCTTATTGTTATTATTGGTTCAGGCGATTTTCCCTTTTGCTTGTCTGTTCAGAAATAAAATAAGGTAAATATATTAAATAAAAGAGTTGTTATTTTAATGAATTATATATATATATTATTTTTCTACAAAATGAATAAAAATGAAAAAAAAAAAGAATAAGTAGTTTTACTTTTATTTAAACTATTTCATCATTTTTTTTCTCATTATATATACTGCTTATGTTTTTTTATTTTATTTATTTTTCTTTTTTAAATAATTTCTTACTTATTAAAACATGAGATATAGAATTTGTTACGTTTTGTTTTTGCTTAAATAAATTCATTGTTTAATACCTCCTCTTCTTTGTTTATTTTTTATTATTATTAAAAGATAATTTATATATAAAATGGTATTATTATTATTATAAAAATTAAAAATATAAAAAAAAAATGAAAATTATAAACAAATATTTATTTCAAACAAATGAAATAAACGTTTTTCATTTATATTAAAGTATATGAAATATAAAATTTGTAATAGAATCTAAATACTTTATTTCAATTTTTTCTCCTTAAGTATTTATAAAAAGCTTAAGATGCATATATATAAATTTTTTCGCTTTTTTTTTTTTTTTTTTTTAAAATGATAAAAAAAAAAAAAAAAAAAAGGAAAAAAGTGATAAATGAAAAAACTGAAAAATTTAAAAAAAAAAAAAAAATGAAATAAAAAGAAAATGAAAAATAAAAATAAATAAAAAAAAAAAAAAAATAAAATAAAGAGATAAAAATTAAAATATTCAGAAATAACTACATTATACATTAAAAGCATAATGTACTAATATATCTTTTATTTTATTGTCAAAACTGATAAATTTTTTTTTGCAATTTTTAAAATATTTATAAGCGTGTACACAAATATGTAATAAAATAGAACGTTCTTTGATAATATAATAAAATATTCAAAAAAAAATTATATATTACCAATGTACTTTCGATAAATTAGAGCATGCACTTTTTAATAAAATGAATACAGAAACATATTTGTATTATATCTTTTTTGAGATAAAGCATGAATAGGAATTTATAGGAAAAAAAAATTTAATATATAACAAAAATAGTAATTAAATCAAATAAAAAAAAGAAGAATGAAACTTTTTTTTTTTATTTTTTATCTATAATTTACTGAATATAATGTTAATGTCAAAATACCATTAAAAAATGATTCAAATAATATGCTCTACCTAAAAATATTTAAAACTAATAGATTTAATTTTGTAACTTATAGGCATATCTTAAACATATTCCTAAAATATATAATTCAATTCATGTTGTATCAAAGTAACAAATATTATTTATTAATGGTATTTAATTTTTATACCTATATTGAATATTATACCTAAATTTTTTTTTATCTGAAACCAAATAAAAGCAGAGCTTTCATTTGTTATTTTTATTATTGTTTTTTTTTTTTTTAATATATATAGTACCTTTATTTTATTTGATATTATTTTTTTTCTCTTTTTCTTTAAAATGGAAAAATATGAAAAAATATTAGAATATTTAGAGTATAATAAAAATAGGAGTTGTGATAAATATGAATTTGGCATGCATGAGATTGATAAAAGAGAAGTTTTTATAACTACAAAACATTCATACGGTTTTGTAAATAATAAGCCAATATTACCAGGTCATATATTATTAACTACATTAAAAAAAAAAAAAAAATATATTGATTTAGACGTTGAAGAAATTGTAGATATAAACTTACTATCAAACTTTATGTGCTACATTATGGGAAAATTATTTAATACAACTAGCTTTTCTATTGCAATTCAAGATGGTAAAGAAGCTGGGCAAACAGTAGAACAAGTTCATATTCATATAATACCAAGGAAAAGTTCTGATTATAAAAATAATGATAACATATACAAAGACTTAAATAAAATTAATTCAGGTTATGGAAGAAACATAATATGTGATTCTTGTCAACATTCAATTAATGTTTTTTCGCATATTCCTATAGAAGAAAATTTTAAATTAGAAGAATTCAAGTAAAAACAATTTTGTTTATATAATTATTTATATATTATTTATATATTATTCTTTTTTTCGATTTCTTTTTATTTTGTTTTATTACTTTTCATTTTTGATTTTCTATTACATTTCATTTCATTTTTACCCTTTTTGTTTTATTATATTATACATTATTATATTTTTCTTAACACAATTTTTAGTTTTTTTTTATTTTATTTTATTTTTTTTTTTGCTATATTTCGCATTTCATACTTTTCGTTTTTTAACTTTTTAGTATTTCAATTAGATCAATTGAAGAAATGGAAAAGGAAGCTAGTTTAATTAAATCATATATACACAATTTTTCTTTGCAAAAATAAAATATTTTGAATAATGTGCAATTTACTATCATAATTTTTAATACATTTTCTTTAATTAAAAAAAAAAAAAAAAATAAAATATATATTTTTTTATATAAATTAACTTTTTTTTTTTAATTCATGTTTTTTCTTTTTTCATATACATTCCGTTTTATTTTGAAATTATTACTTTAATAAATAAAGCATATCAATTATTTTTTTTTTTTTTTAATCATTTAAAAAAAATAAAGAAAAATTAATTTTTATTATCTTTTTATTTATTTATCATTTATACTTAATTTTTTTTTTTTCTGATTATACATGAACTCTATATTATGTTATGAATATTTCATTATTTTATTTTATTTTTCCTTATTTCACATTATTTTAAATTAATTTGACTACAATCACATCAATTTTTGTTAATTATGTTCAATTAAAATGATTAAAAAACAAAAATGCAAAAATTTTTTATATTTATTTTAATGACTTGTATTTATTTTTGTAAATGTAAGAAAATTGTAAAAAGGTATAATTTTATGACATACAAAATTAATACAAATAAATTCAAAAAAAAAAAAAAAATTTTTTTTTCTGATAATGAATATCATAAACATACAATAAATATACCATCTTTGTTATTATCAAAAAGAATAATTTTTTTATCTTCTCCAATATATCCTCATATATCAGAGCAAATTATATCTCAATTGTTATATTTAGAATATGAATCTAAAAGAAAACCAATTCATTTATATATTAACAGTACAGGGGATTTAGAAAATAACAAAATTATTAATTTGAATGGAATAACAGATGTAATATCAATAATTGATGTAATTAATTATATTTCTTCTGATGTGTATACATACTGCTTAGGCAAAGCTTATGGAATTTCATGTATACTAGCTAGTAGCGGAAAAAAGGGTTATCGTTTTTCTTTAAAAAATTCTTCTTTTTGTTTAAATCAATCATATTCAATTATACCATTTAATCAAGCAACGAACATTGAAATACAGAATAAAGAAATCATGAACACAAAAAAAAAAGTAATAGAAATAATTGCAAAAAACACAGAAAAAGATAAAAATTTAATATCAGACATACTTGAAAGAGACAGGTATTTTAATGCAGATGAAGCTATTAATTTTAATTTAGTTGATAATATTCTTGAAAAAGAGTAAATTATTTTATCAATTTCTAATCCATATCCTTTATTTTTATTTAAATTTTTTTTTTTTTTTTTTTTTTAATTGTTTTTAAATATTATTTAACATATTATATCAATTTTTTATTCATATTTTATTTTTATTTTTTCTTTTTATTTAATTTAATTTTTTTTTTTAAGTGCTTTTGTTCTGAGTTTACAAAATAAAAAAAAACTGTTAACAAAACAAGTTACATATTCTTTAAGCAAAAAAGAGGAAATAAGAATCACGGCACATACAAAATAATCTATAAAGAATTTTATTTATTTTATAATAAGAGAAAAGCATATGTTTAATTTAAAAAATAAAAAAAAAAAAATGTTCATAAAAAACATATTGTTAAAAAAAATCAAATGTTTTAATATTATTGATAATAATGCAGTGAAGAAAAATAGCTATTGTATTTTAATAAAGAAATATTATTCTCATCAAAGAAACAGTAGTAATAATAAAGGTAATAACGAAAAGAAAAATGAGAAAGATAATTATTCAGAAGGAACTATTTATAAAGAGAAAAATAAAATAGAAAAAAAAGAAAAAGATAATTCTAATTTAAAAGAAGATGCAAATAATATGAAAAATAATTATAACGATACTATAAACATTTATGACAAAAAAAAACCAAATTTTATCATTAATTTTGTTTTAAATCTTTTTGTAGAAAAACATAATAAAGAAAATAAAATACAATATATAAATGAATTTAAAAATGAATTAAATAAATATTTACGAAGTAGCGATTCAAATATTTCATGTAGCAAAAATCAGATAACGTTTACCAATATTTTTGCTATACTTTACTTATGCTATAAAGAAAAAATTTTTGATTTAGAATTTTTATCAAAATTAAGCGAAAAATTTGATGAACTATTTAAATCAAAAAATGAAAAGGAAATATTAAATAGTGATAATATTAATTATTTCATAATGTTCTTCTATTATTTTTCATATTTAAATGTAAAAAATATAACTTTGAATAATAAAATAAAAGATTTTATAATTAATAACGAAGTTGATCCTTTAATAATTTATAAGTATTTAGAATCCCTTAGTTTAATAAATGATGAAAACAATAATATAACACCTGTAGTTCAAATATTTGTTGAAACATTTTATGATTATAACAATTATCTTTTACTAAAAATTTTACAATTTTTACATAATTTAAATTATATAGATAGAGATATTTTTTTTCTTCTCACAAAAAAATTAAACAAAAATATTTATAATGAAAACGGGAACCTCTATGAATTATGTATGTTATCTCGTATCTATGCATTATATAAGAAAGAAAACATAACTTTTTTTAACTACTTATATGAGGATTTAATGATAAACATAACAAAATATGAAGATAATTTTCAAAATGATGAAAACTATTATGTAAATGAATTAGAAAATAATGAAAAAAAAAAATTTGAAAATGGAAATGAGAAGAGAAACATTGAAAAAATAGATAAAATATTAAGTAATAATGACTCAAATATTTTAAATGATGAAGAAAACCATAAGGAAGTAGCAGATTCATATATACATGAAATTGAAAATATGAATAGAGATAATTATTTTTTTTTTAAAAATAGCTTGTATAATGATGGCTTAAATTTTTATCCATTTTTTATAAGTTCAAAAACTACTAATAAAGAATGTTTTAAAACGAAACAAAAATTGAATATAAATTTTACAAATAATGAGAATAAAAGTAAAGATGATAATGCTCATATTTCAAAATGGAATAAAATGTTTTTTTATGAAGAATATAAAATGAAAGATATAAAAAACGAAAAATTTGTTAATTGTGAGGATAATAAGAGTGAAGATGAAATAATTGAAGTAAATAGCAAATTTTTAAAAGAAAATTTGTATTATGAATTTAGTTATGAGAAACTTGTGGAAATTTTTGTAAATATAAGTAATCAGTTAGACAACTTAAAAATTGACATAAATAAAAAAGATGTTGTTATTATTAGTAATTACGATAAAATGATTCAGTATAAAAAAAAATTGTTGTTTATTGAAAATTATTACATTGGGCACATCTTTCACATTATAGATTCTATGCTATCACTGAATATACATCATAATTGTGCATATTTTGATAAATTAAAAAAAAAAATTTTAAATTTAATAAAAAATAATGAAAGTTATATAATTGATAATTTTGATAGTAATGAAATAAAAAGCCTTTTAATTTTTTTGGCTCATATAAATAAATATTATAAAGAAAGTTTTATTTATTGCATTACTCACAGAATGGTAGATTTGTATATTAACGGATTATGTAAACCAGAAACATTATCTATTTTTTTTTATAATCTATTATCTTTTACTAAAAAAAAAATTGTAAAAAAAAATAGATTCAATCATACTATTAGAAATACAATATATAATAGTTACTTTTGGTTAAATGATAACAAAAATATTACAAAAGAAGATAATAATATTTCTACATTAGAAAAAAAGGAAATTAGTAATATATATAATAATATAAAAGTAAAAAATCATACCCTTTTACAGCTTTTATCTATATATATTTGTAAAAATGTATATTTTATTAGCTTACCAACTTTAGCTTCATTATTAAGGTCACTATCTTATTTATCCTTTAATAATTTTAATTTTTACAATGTGTTCATACCATTATTTTTAAAACATATTGAAAATTTAAAAAATGTTGATATTTTAAATATAACACAAGTAATATAAAAATTTTTATATATTTATTTTTGATATTAAACTTATATTAATTTTATACTTAATATCACAAAAAAAAAAAAAAAAAAAAAAGATTTATAATTATAATATATAACAAAATATTTAAAATTTTGATTTTTTAATTTTTTTTTTTTTTTTTTTTTTTTTTTTTTAGGCATATAATAAACAAAAAATAAAAAACAAATATTTCTATTATTTGCTCTCAAAGCAATATCAAAATAATTATTCTAATAAACTAAAAAATTCGGAACCTAAAATTAAATTAATTGGCTAACTAAAAGTAGAAAGAATTTCTCTAGTTTGAATTATTTTAATTTAATTAGTTTATTAATTACACACCAGATATATGGAAAAAAGAAAAAAATTGAATAAATGTCTTCATCAAATTTATAACGAATTACATTTAAATCTACAGGATAAAGCTAAAAAGAAAAAAAAGAAAAAAAAGAAAAAAAAGAATATTAAAGAAAATGGAATTTAATTTTATAATTTTAAATTAAAAAAATAAAAAATAAATTTTTTAAAATAAATTATATCTGTATATAGGAAATACGTAAGATATAAAATATAATTATAAAAATTACATTCATTATGTTACTGATTTCTATATAATCATTTTGCAAATCCATACTTCCATTTTTATCAATTTCATGATTTTTCATTATTTTGTTTTTACTATCAATTTTATTATATGTAAACATCTTAAAATTTAATGCTAAATTATTAATTAAAATGTGTAACTCATCCATCTAAAAAATAAAAAAAATAAAAATGATATAAATATATATTAAAAGAATTACATGCATAAAGAAAAATTCAAAAAAGATAAAAATAAAATAAAATAAAATAAAATAAATGACTGATATAAAATTAAATGTATTTTAAATGTATAAATGCTAATGTACATTATAATTCTTATTCTTGTAATATATTTTGTTATAAAAATACAATAAGCATATTTTAATATATTGAAGATATGGAATCAAGGATTTTAATATGTATTTGAACATTTCATTATTATTATTCGTATTCTCATGATTAAAATAGATGATTTTGTTTATTTTATTATTAAGATTATCTATATTTAGTTTTTCATAAATATTAGAAACAACATTCATTAGATTATCTATATTAGTATTATTCATATTTTTACACAACAAAATTAATATTGATTTAAACAAAATTCCCGTAGCCTAAAAAGAAATTATGGAAATAATATGAAGGGAAATTATTAAATATAAAAAAATAGTATTTTTTTGCAAAAATTTACAAAAAAAAAAAAAAAAAAAAAAAATATAATAAAATTTTATTTTTTAAATTTATGAATAAATATATTATAACCTGAATGCTATATTCATTTATATAATTTTTATATTTATTGGAATTTTCTTGAGGTGATGATATAATATCAATAATATTCATTATATTATCTAAAAATGCACTAAAGTATTTAATTAATAAATTATTAATTTCTGAATCAAGAAGAAAAGAAATTTTTATATTAATTAAAATGGCATATATAAGCTCTAAAATAAAAATATTTTTAAATGTCCTAAAATTCCATATTGCTAATTTTAATATTGAGTAAACAAAAAGATTTCCATAATTTGTTTGATAATGTAAATCAAATATCTGTAAAAATTTGGTGTTGATTTCAGTTCTAAATAATTTTTCAAAATTTGTATCATGGATTATCATAACAAAAATAATTAAAATTAAAGTTACTAAATAGATATCATTTTTACTAAAAGGACAATTTTTAAAAATTATTTGGTGAGTTATTTTAGTAAAGAAATATAAAACAAGAATAAAAATTTGAACATTGTCTATATTACTAAAAAAATACATATTAAATCTTCTATTCTTATATAAAAATATATACAACAATAAAAAATAAGCATGTTCGAAATTTAAAATAGTATAGTTATTTTTTAAATTCATATAATAATTCCCTGAATCTATAAAAACTTTGAATATTCTTTTAAAATCAATAGTATTTATTCTAAAGTTTTCATAATATTTATTTTCATTCTTATTAAAAATGTTTAAGTCATATAATTCATTGAAAATAAGCAAAAATATATTGTCTCCATTTTCATTAGATGGTACACATTTTTTATTTTTAACCAAATTTACACTATTTTTATTTTTTTCATCCATTATACTGTTTCCTTTATAAAAAATACACAATATAAAAAGACCTAAACATTTTCTTTTAAAATTATCAAAAAATTTCAATCCTATATTATATTTATCACAATACAATATATTTATTAAATATGTTAAGAATTCGTATGTCAATTTATTAAATAAAAAATTATTATATTTATATAATTTTTTAATTAATTTTAATAGAATTTCAAGAAGGAAAATATTTGGTGAATATAATTGTGATTCTACTATAAAAAAATCTTTATCCACTCCATTATCATGTATCACATTTACGATTTCTCTATTTAATTCAGCAGTGTTATTTTGACTACCTTCATTTTTATAATTTGCTTTAATATTAACATATTCTTTTTCTTTTTTATTTTTCTCAAAGTTTTCTCTATTGATCATTTTATTTGAATCATTAGTTAATTTTATATTATTACGAAAAAATTCGTTATAATTAAAAGAATCAATATCAACAGATGATAAATAAAAAAAAATATCGAAGATATAGTTTTGAATTTTTAATAAAGAAAGCAATTCATCACTATTCATATTTTCTTCATCTTCGCAATATATACAATACAAAATTAATTCTATTAAAAAATTAGCTATCACACTATTTGTGTAATGTTTTTTTTCATAATTGTTTATAACCTCATTGGATTTTAAATTATATACACCCTTATGGTTGCCATTTAATTTATAACTATTCAAATCATTACTAAATATATATATTGGTATTTCTATAGGAATCAAGAAATATATTTTCAGTTTTCTATTTAAGTAAAACTTTAATTCTTCATAAAATCTATTTAAATCGTATATCTTATTATATTCATCCATTAGTACAAATCCTCTTTTAGTAAAAAAAAAAAAAAAAGAAAAAATATAATTTAAATATATATATAAAAAAAAAAAACATAATAAATATATATAAATAAATAAGAATAATATTTATAGCATTAGTATTAATTAAATCTAGAATTATATTATGGTAATAGAAATGATCACAACATTAATTTGAAAAGTAAATAGTAATAGTTAGTAAAAAAGTAAATATTTTTTTTATTTTATTTTGTTTAGAAAATATTACGATTTTAAAAATGTTTTGTATTCATTTGTAAAATTCATTCTTATCCATTTTAAAATATAATTCCTATAAAGACATATATTAAAAAAAAAAAAAAAAAATAAATATTATATACTTAAATAGAAAAAAAAAAAAAAAAATACATATTACTATAATTATATTAAAGTTTTATTTCTCATTTCTTTTTTTTTTGTTTTTTTTTTTTTTTACTTAAAATCTACTAATAAATTAAAATATTTTAGAATTAGGTACTTATCCCTATAAAATAAATATATTTGAAACGTATCCTTTCTTTTTTTTAAGGCATTAATGGTATTATAATATCTAGAATATTCTATTATCCCAATTAGTTTCAAATAGCTATTTTTTTTACAAATATTTTTAATTATTCCTTTTGCAAAGTATAATAAGAATTCTAGATTCTTGTCATTTTTTATGTTATTAGTTCTACTTCCTAATATATATAAACAAGAAATAATTTATTTTAATAATTAATCTATAAAAAAAAAAAAAAAAAAAAAAAATTTTTTTTTTTTATTTTCTAATTGAATAGTAACAAAATTCAAAAATATGCCTACTGGACTTTTTATGCTACTTATTAAATCTAAAAAAAAAAAAAAAAAAAAAAAAAATACAATAAATGTAATAGCATAATTTAACTGTTGTACAAACTTTTGTTTTTTATGGTTTAACTTATATTTTAACACTAATATAAAATTATTATAAAAACTGATATAAATATAAAAAAAAAAAAAAAAAAAAAAATACTTATATTTTCTTCAAAGAATATGTTTAAGGCTAACTTTAGTTTTTTTTTTTCATCATCAAAGATTATTACTGAAAGAACAAAATTTTTTTTTTTTATAGTTTATTATTGTTATTAGTATTTTATTTTACAAACTATTTTAATTTTATTTAAATTCTTTTTTAACTATTTTACTATTTCTTATATCATTCCAAATACTATTTTCTAATGATATATCTTGTATTTCTATTAATCTATTCAAAATTATAATGCAATTTTTTAAGTTAACACTATTTACATTACCCATAGCTAACCTTCTACATATTTTACTTTTTCAATATAAAATGAAATTTATATTAATTAAAAAAAATAATTGAAAGTCTTTTTTTTTTTTTTTTTTTTATTAAATTGAGAAACATTTTATATATTTTGATAGAATAAATTTATGAATCATTGTTAACTATAACATATTTAATTTGTTACATATGTTTTTAAAATATTTTTGTGTATTTTTATATATAAATAAAAATATAGTATATGTTTTATTAATGTAAATAAAAAGGTTTTTTAATATTTTATATTTATATTTCCATTTATTTTCTATAAATCTCAAATGAATTTATATAAAAATTAGTTCATTTATAATTTTTTTTTTTTTTTTACTTAATAGTATACATTAATTTTAAAAGGTGTGTAAAAAAAAAAAAAAAAAAAAATAATTAAAAATATTTTAATTCATAATAATAATTAAAAAAAATTTTGTTATTACTCTTTTTTTTTTTTATGTGTATATTATTATAAATTTTTTGTACATCCATTTTCTTTTTAAATTTAAAATTGCACTTGTAATTATTTAAATCTATATTTTTTTAAACACACCTTATGAAATAAAAGGAATGAATTATAAATAATTAAATTAAAAAATATAAAATATAAAATATAAAATTTATATAAGGATATAAAAAAAACTTGTAATTTATAGAATACCACTAGGCCAATACATGAGACAAAAAAATAAAAAAAAAAAAAAAGAGTAATAACAAAAACTTTTTTAATTATTATTATCAATTAAAATATTTTTAATTATTTTATTTTTTTTTTTTTTAAATTATTGTAAAAAACAAATGAATACTATATATATTCTAATGCATTGTTATAAAGTTAATTGATAAATACAATTTGTTCAAATATTTTAATAACTTCTTAAATTGTATTAAAGTAGAGAGATTATTTTCAAATTACTTACAATTATTTTATATAAATTATGATGAAAATATATTTAAAAATACTGAGAAATTTTTGGAATTAATTTAACTAAGAAAAATAAAAAAAAATTTTATATTTAGAATTTAATAGAAAAATAAAAGTAAAATTAGATTCAATGATGAAAATAATTTCTTAATATGACATTTGTATTATTTTGTAAATTAGTAAATATTTATATTTACACAAAAAATACAACTCATATGGAGTTTAAGAGAAAAATTTTTATAATTCTTAAAAGGAAAACATGTTCGAAATTTTTTATAAAATTAATATATATATATATATATTCAAGACAATATTAAAAAAGTAAAAAATAATAATTTCATATTCTAATTTTAAATAAATTTTTTGTAATATTATGTAATTTTTTATTCTGTTATATTTTTAAATTATAATAGATATAGACAGTGAATTTAATTTAACATTTGAAATAGTAAAACATTTTTCTTTTACCTATTAATATCTTTTTTTTTATTTTTCTTTTTTTTTTTTTAAATATAACAATTAAAACATAAATCCATTATTTGTTTTTTAAATAATAATAAAGAAAAAAAAATAATTAATAAAGATAAAGTTTTATAACATTATATTAACTTTTTATTTTTTTCTTTTCATGAAATTAAATATAAATGAAATATCTTATTTTTTTTGAATGAATATATGATAAAAATTTTTTCATTTTTTAAAACAAATTAAAATATTAAAAGAAATTCAAATTTTAAAAGGAATTGTATTGAGAAATAATTTGTAGAAATATTATATTTGTTATGCAAAAATTAATAAAAATATATTTTTAAAAATTACACATTTATAATTTATCTATATAACTAATTATCTGCTAAAAAGGGAATTTTGTTTTAAATATGATTTTCAGACAATATTCTTTAAAATATTTATATAAAAATAATATGAAATTAAAAGACAATTGTAAGTTTTAAAATTAAATTTGAATTTTATTTTATATTTTTTTTTATATTATTTTATTGTGTTTCATTTTATATTTATTAGTTCTATTTTGTATGGTAGTTTTTTTTTTTTTTTTTTTTTTTTTTTAATTT